CAAAATTAATTACGCAAAGATTTTTAACAGTACAAAACAAAAAAATCTGATGTGGTCAACACATAACCGACTGCAATGTATATTGGCTAGATTAGTAAAAGTATTCCAGAAATTATGAAAATGCGTTTTAAACACTTATTTACAATTTTAAGGACACTAATAAGCTTTTAGTTAACATACCTAGAAAAATGTGAATTGAAACGAACTCTTATAGTCGAGTTTAATTTTATGACGTCCGAATTATACGAAAAGTTCGTCAGCAACTTTTGGTAACAACCAGAGCTCAAATATTAAATTTCAAGAAATTCCATCAATTTGTTCCGTAGATAGGGCAAAAAATGTAAAATCGGCCCAAGATAATTTTCCGAGCCCTGATATTTCCAAAAAATTTATAGATTCATTAAGTTAATGGAAATTTCTTCATACAAATGCAGAACAGATTGCTGACGTAATCAAAGGAATGAGTTAAGGTCAGAAAAATTAAAAAATTTTTCTCCTCGAACTGGACTCGAACCAGTGACTTACCGTTTTCTAGGCTGACGCTCTACCAACTGAGCTGCAGAGGTATGAATAAATTGCCGACGAAATGTTCTTCACATTGATTTATACTGTAACCCACATGATTGCTAAATATTTGTTTACATTAAGTTGCTATATGCAATCTACTATTTGAGACACACAATCACAAGAACATATGTAAAAAGATATATTGTGCCTATTACACTAATATATTATGAATTTGCTAATACAACATGTATTTGTTAAATTAATTATTTATAGATTCATTGTTTTAGCATCTAGAATTTAAATAATCCAGTTGCTGACACCTGATTTCTTCCAAAAGTTAGGATGTTCCGCATACGGTCCAATAAAGTGCCGTCCCACCGAAAACTCGATATGCAAAATTTGTTGCCATCACATCACCTACCTTATTGTATACACAATGCGGTCGTTAATAAAAAAAATTGGTACATACAAAAAGAATGTTATTTCGATATTCATAAATTTTTATTATAAATTTAAAAACGAGCGTAGATTTTCTATATTTCAATTAATAATTTTTACTGCACTTACAAGCTTGTTTTATCAACTTAATATTTATCATTTTTCTAATAAATGTCTATTAATATATTTTGCGCAAAAATCAAAAATCATACGGCCAAGTACGGGAGTATTTTCTTTAACAAATTGTATATTAAAATAATAACATATGGCGTTTACTATCATTCAATTGTAGGTCATGATGAACCGCTCTAAAGAACAAAAAAAATTTTACCTTGATTAACTTTTAATTATATTAAGAATATAACAATGTTGGAAAATTATATTAGAAGAAAATAAATCAATTATCAAATACCACATTGGCAAAAAAATATTTTTTAAGAATAATAGTTTTTTTAAACTTAAATTTTTATAATATTAGCTTTTTAAACTTAAGATTTTTGTATATTTTTTTTTGCTTGATTTGATATTGAAGTAGTTAATCTAATTAGTACAAAAGTATAATAATGCATGTACAAAACTGATCTATGTTCCAGAAAATATGGACTACAAATTAAATAAAAATAACAATTTTATTTTGCAAATTACTTAAGTTGATTAATAATTTTCTATACAGTAAAATTTTATTTGCATTATTTATTGAATATCCCATTATAGATTGATTTGATATGGTCTAAAGGTTTTTATACCCGTACGAACGTATGTTCGAAGGGTATACTAAATTTGACTTATCGTTTATAACGCTAAGAAATAACGGTCTGAGATATAGACTCAAGTATTTTTTTTATCAGGGTTGAATTCTGAGTAGATTTAACCATGTCTGCCCGTCCGTTCCAATGATTATTCAAAAAATAATTGAGGTAAGATTCCCAATTTTTCGCAGGTATTGGTTCGGGAACTTCAAAAAATTTTTGACTATATCTAAGAAACTATTAAAGCTATGGTTTTGAAATTTCGAACAAGCACATGCATTATTAGGGCTAATATGTTTGACAAGAGTCGTTGAAATTGGTTTGTTCCTTCTGGTAGCTGCTATACAACTTGACAAGTAATTTGACTACATCTTAAAAACTCTTCACCCTACAGTGCTGAAATTTTGCAAAACCAAATATGATAAAATGCCAGTTGTATTAGTAAAAAGTGCTTGTAATAGTTACCATACAACATCAGATGTAATTCGGTTATTCAAGTAACTTCATAAGCTGTTTGTTCATAGCTCAGAAACTATTAAAGTTTTTGTTAAAGAAACTGCAAAAAGACAATACTAGTTACACGGTTCAGCGTGGCGTATCACATGAGACATGAGATATGGTTCATTTCTTTCATTTATAAACTATATATTTTAGTACAAATAATTATATATTACAAGAGTTTTCACAATAATAACTATTTCAAATTGTAACTGGCCACTTATTAATATTCTCAACAAGTTTTCAATTAAAATGCCAAATTTATTTCTACTTTATGTGACCGTTTTGAATTTAATGCTATGTATAATATACTTACATACAATTGAAAGTTCAAATTACATACAAGTTAAATTACATAAAATACTTTTTTAATGTTGTAAAATTATGTAGTAAAATAAAAAATTACACGCTATAGCAGTGGTCGCAATAAGATTTTATGTATCGTGCCAAAAAAGATGTGTTTTTTCAAACCAATATTTCGGCGTGCCGAATCTATTCTATAAAATTAAGTAGAATTGAAAATCAGAATACTTATATTAGTTCTTATATTAATTTTTATTTATTTCATTTATTATTTCATTTTTATTTATATTTAAACATAAATTTATGTAAAAAAAACTTAAATATATTCAATCAACAAAAATAAAAACAAAAATATCAGATATATTCTTCAATATCAAAAATTAACAAAACACAGTAAGATTTAAATAATAAATATCAAAAAAAATAATAAATAAAAGTTTACTTAAATTAGTAAGGAACACATTATTTTTTTTACTGTTGTTCAGTATGGTCTATGTTTGTAAATTATATTCATTTGAGAAAATAAAAATTCACAAAAGTAAGATGAAGGAAATACTGTTAGTACAGCAACTGGCAGCTTTTTTAATGATGAGAACTGATTTGGAAGATTTTGCCACAATTTTAGAACTTCATCGTCCATGTTACATGTTACACTATTTTCTTTTAATTTTTTTATATTGTTAGAAATGTGACATAATCGTTGTGGCCGTCTTTTGTAAAATTTTCGGCAATTGAAAAAACAAAAAATTTTTTGTGTTTATTTTTTTAAAATAATAAAATTATTTAAAGAAAGTTTTTGGCTTTTTGTTTGAAAATAAAAAAGTGAACTAATTTTTTGAAAATTTATAAATCTTCAATGTAGATATAAACATTGACAGCCACGATGACGTCATGCTTTTGTGACAAAAAATTGAAGAGATAACCTAGTAACAGTTTATAAACCTTGGTTTAAAAAGTTGGGATAACAATCAAAATTCAAATTCAAATTTGAAACCAAAATAGAAATTATGTTTTTAATAATATTTTTATTGTTATAAAAATATTATATTTTGTAGAAAAAAAAATTAAAATTGAGAAAATTGTGTTTTGGAAAGTAACAAGTATCAAGAAGTAAATAAAAAAACTTTCTAAAAAAAAAAATTTATTTTCATATACTCATTACGCGTGCCAGCAAAGTTTCGAAGTGTGCCAATCTTGGCACGCGTGGCACGTAATTGCGATCATTGCGCTATAGGTTAATACTGGGCATAGTATAGAAATGTCGTTTCGATACTGAAATAATAAATACTTTATATATATGTTAGGAATTTTTAAATTTTTGATTCAAGTATTGAAAATACATATATTAGAATTACAAACCAAGAAAGTGGATTCAGATTAGTTGTTTAAAAAAAAAGAAAATACATAAAAAAAGGTAAAATTTAACTCAGATCATATATGAATATGACCATAGTAAAGTAACTTTTAAGCACTTTTCCAAAAAATTTTGGAAAAATAGTGCTTATTAGTTTCACTCTGACCGTCCGTTCGTCCGTCGACATGGTTACAAAACTTCTACACCCTTGAAAATAAAAAGGATGAAATTTTATATGTACGTAGGTCTTTACTAAAAACTTTTTTTAAATATTGTTGAACTTTCGGAGCTCCACGACTTGTCCGGTATCTTAGTTAAAAACTATATACAATTACAAAAAATTTTTTCTTCAAAATTAAAAGTTAAAAGGTGTGCTTTATTTATAAGTTATGTTATACAGGAGAGAAGCGAAATAAAAATTTGATTTTTAGAAAATACAACAAGTTTTATAAACAAAAGGATTATTAAAAATAAAAAAATTTACGGAGTACAATACATAGAATGTGACAACAAAAAGTTTTTAAAACAATTTGAAAATTTCCGAATCATAACTAAAAACAAATTTTTAATAAATGTTTTTTTCATAACCTTATACATTTTGATGAACGTACGAATAAGCCACATCTTTTAATTTTTAATTTAAAATATGTACTAATTTAATTCATAATTGCATAAGTAAAATAAAAGTTTTTGTGTATAATGAAAATTATAATGGTAAAATATTATAAGATTATATACTTTTTTAATTACTTTATATTCATGGTCATTTTGGTTTTTTTTGCGCATGAATGAAGATGAACGTTTACGCTCTTACGTAAATTTTAAACTTTTAATAAATTTAATCATGAACTCATACTGAAATAACATGACTACATTAATTTTATGTTTGTTAGCGACTTTTCTTAACATTTATAACGATTTTAAAATAGTGACGAAGGTGACATTAAGTGACACGGTCCTTCATACACTCATTATTGAATAATGACATAGAATCAATTAAATGACGTTATAGTTAGCAATAAAAAATAGTTTCTATATAATTTTTAAAACATATATGAATATAAACATGAACATTGTATTATAAATAAATAAATATATAAGTATTATAAAGATAATACAAAAAAAATCATATTAATCTTATCCAATTTCAGATAAAACAGAGGATAATAAGAACCCTGAAATTTTTGTAACAAGTTCATGTTTAGAAAAACCGTATAAATGTCCGCACCCAAAAATACAGTTTTATTTATATACTCGCCGAACACAAGAGGTTCCTGAGTTTTTAGATGTTTTAGACGACAACGCATTATTTTTTACGCACTTTAATCCAACACATCCAACAAAAATTATAATTCATGGTTTTGGTGGTGGACGAAATTTATCACCTTCACCTAATATAAGAGAGGCGTATTTCTCAATCGGTGAATATAATATTATAATTGTTGATTATGGTAATGCTGTAAAAGAACCATGCTTAAGTCAAATGGATTGGTCCCCGAGATTTGGAAGTTTATGTATTGCACAGTTAGTTAAATATTTGAACAGACATCCACGTGGTGTAAGACCTGATGATTTACATTTTATTGGATATAGTGTCGGTGCACATATAGCTGGGTTAGTGGCAAATTATTTAACACCACAAGAGGGCAAAATTGGTCGTATAACGGGTCTTGATCCGACAATATTTTTTTATGCTGGTACAAATAATTCAAGAGATCTAGATCCAGGAGATGCTCATTTTGTTGATGTATTACATACTGGTGCTGGAATATTGGGGCAATGGCATTCAACTGGTCACGCAGACTTTTATGTAAATGGTGGAACAAGCCAACCAGGATGTGCAAGCGCATCATTGTTCCGTAAATAATATGTTGAAATTTTCTTTTGAAATTAATATAATTTATGTTTACAATATTATTTACAGAAACACTAGCTTGTGATCATACTAAAGTTACGCCATATTTTATTGAATCTATTACAACTCAAGTTGGATTTTATGCTGGACCCTGCCCAAATTTATTTACATATTTAATTGGTTGGTGTGAACCAAAGCCGTCAGATTATGTTTTAATGGGCGAACATGTATCTAAAAAGTATAGGAAATATTTTACTTTTGAAATTTATTCCAAACATATTTCATTTTTTTGAATTAAAATTATTTTAGGGCCCGAGGTGTTTATTATGTTACCACAAACCCTTCACCCCCGTATGCCAGAGGTTTTCCAAATAAAAGACGTTCTCGAGATAATAATCAGATTGGAAGAAGCTATGATGGTGTACGCAAAAAATAATTTGAATGCAGCTAAACTGTTAAACCATTATGTTTTTGCTAAATAGCTTTAGAAAGAAGAAAAAAACAATTTTTTTATTGTTTTATTTTTATATTTTCTTCTACAAAAAATTAAATTAATTTTTTTTTTATTTTAATTATGTTATAATATAATGGCTTAGAAACTATATGAAAAATTCAGCTACCCCTTCAATTCTGTTTTTGATATATTATTCGTCTTTTCGTTCTGATTTCTAAGAAATTAATATAAGAAGGATGAATTTTTGTAAATAATTTTTGGCAAAGTTTAGCTAACTGCAATATAAAAAATAGCATTAACGTCTAAGTTCAAAAAAAAAACAAAAGAGTGTTTATCTATTCAAATTCTTAATCAAAACTAAAAAATTTATTTTTTATTTTAATCAAATCTAGTTTGTGTTTCATTCGTAATCTCCTAGATGCATCACTTGAGGTGTTTTTTTGCGAATTTGAAATTTTATACTTTCAATTTGAATTTTCATATTTTGAAATAATATCTCTCAAGTTGTGAGCCTTAGAGACTATGGGTGATTAATAAGATCTATTGTATATTTTGTTTATGTATAAAGTACTTTGATATTATAATAATAAGATGCACCATTGGGATTTAATTAGTTTTAGATGGTTGTGATAATACTCTGTAAGAAAATTTTAGTCATTTTTTTTTCAATAAAAAAATTTAACATTTATATACGTTAAGCCTGTGTAGATATATGTATGTATAAGTACATGAAATATAGTAATTCAAATAAATATTTTATAATAAAAATTTTTTCTGTGTATATTATTATTACATGTATACGTTTCAGATTTTCTTCTAATTCTAAAATTAGCATTAGAAGAAAATTTAGAATTAGAAGAAAATTTGAAACTAATTCTTCTAATTTTTTTTCGTCTAATTTAACACAACTAGCTCAACATTAAACACAATACGTTTAACTTTTCTTTAAACTCTAGCGTTTAGTAGGATGTGACCTTCATCAGTGTAAGTGTGAATTACTGAATCACTTATTGATACTACATTACGGCATTTTTGAAGTCAAGCGATAAAAAATGGTCCGAAATCACGGCAACCAAACTTTATACCTAATTTTACATAAATGTAATTCTTATCCCTTTATTTTTATTTTTAATAGAGTTTAAAACAATCTTAGAAATATACTGTTTTCCAATTAGTTATTATATTGAGCTGATTATGATGCAAAAATTTTGTACATATTTTTTAGCCAAATTCAAAATGATTTTCGAGGAATTGAAAAATATTTGTAGCACATTATTCTTTATTCTTTATTTTTTCATGTAAATTCTTTTTCATTTGGAATATTTTTATTTGAATACCGATAAACTTGTGTCCATCAAAAAATTTTTTATTTAGCTACATTTTATTTTGAAAAACGTAAGAGCTATTTATATACCTTTATTACAACATTCATATATCAAAAAAAATTAAATAACTAACATTATATAGAATTTAAACAAATTAAACTTACTTGATGGGTTCAACATATCTTCGAATATGCTTAAAGTGTGTGCGGAGAACTTATGTCACCCTATTTCTATTATAGTTAATAAATTGCTAAACGAATGTCTAGTTCAAGGAAGTTCAAAATCGGTTGAATAGTCCCTGTTCACAAAAATGGTAGTAAAAGTGATATCAATAACTACAGACCCATATGTATTACGCCAGTTATGTCCAAAGTTTTGAAAAAGCTGTGAACAACCAATTATGCTGCTTCTTAAAAAAAAATTGTTTGCTCTCCAATCATTAGTATGCGTTTAGAAAAAAATCCAATATGGAATCGGCATTAATTGATATAATAACTTGTGTGCAAAAACTGAAAGTAGATAAAAAAGTTTTATCAGTGCTATTTATTTATCAGTTCTGGGCCCTTTGATTTTTAAAATATTTATGGACGATTTGGTTGACATAAAAATTGATGCTGAAGTTATAATTTTCACAGATGATGTTTGTTTCATTTCCCAAGTTTAAAACTACAATTATTTAGGAAAACAAAAATATTTTTGGGATAAATAAAAATAAAACAAGGAAAGAATGTCAAAAGTTAACTATTAACATAAAAAAAAAAACAAAATATATAGTGACAAGTATATCTTCATCTATGCTGCAAGTCAAAAATTCTAAGTTATCCAGCTAGCTCCAGAACTACCCACAAGCAAAGATGGCACTGATGAATGAAAAAGAACCCTGTATTTCCTTCTAGAAATATAAAAACCATCCCAACTTACAACAAAATATTGGGAAATCCTAATAACCTCAGTTTCAAAAGGTTTGCCCAATTCAGTGCATATCACTTCTATATTATTTAAAAAACAGAGGCGCTTCCATCAGATTAGTCATCGTTGATTTCTTTTTCAGGAAACCGTGCTGGCAACTATTGATAAATGGAAAGGGAGTAAATGTCATCATATATCATTAGTTCAAAAACTTTTGGAATGGCCGAAAGTTTAGCAATAGGACGATAGTTTATCACATCACTTTTATTGTCCTCCTTATGAATCTTTATGAATTTATTAGACCAATAAAGGCTTCCTTCCAAACGGAAGGATAAATTCCTGAGGAGCAAGATTTATTGAAAACAAAAGATAGAGGAGTCGCTAAAAAAGAACAACACTTACTCAAAATTATTTTATGAATACAGAACGAGCTAGAACCTAAATTGATGAAGTATTTTTCAACTGTAGCCGAATTTGCGGCAAAATTGGAAAAAGTGCCTTTTGGAAAGTTATTGATGTGTCGAAAATCATCCAAATTCATTGCAAATGAGTGACGAAAAAGTGACGAAAATTAGAATTATTACTTTAAGAACCAAACAGTAATATTAAATAGTGAAGAAAAATCGTAAGCAGAAAAAAAATCATTTAACATTGTAAAATTAGCCCTTTCAAAATCTGGTAGGAAAAGGGGTCTCCTCTGTACATAGTTGACCGTTAATACAATATGAAAAAGAAATCGAAGGATTAAAGAGTCGACATTAACCAATGAATTCGGCAGAACGATGGGTACGCAATTATACCAAACAGAAGTAAAAAGCTTCGACAAGTGGTTCAAATTTGACGAAATTTGCTGCAAGTTATTCAGCAAAAAGAAGTCCACAAAAGACTATTCCAGCTCACTATCACAATCTATTGGAACCAAAATTGGTTCTTCGTCATGTGTCGTCCATGATATTTTGGGAAGATTAAAGTCTCGAAAGTAATAAACCTCGTCGCGTAAACTAATAGAACGGTTAATGTTTTCAACCATTGGATGTTAAAAATGCATTCAATTCCGCTAGGTGGGCGGATATGATAGAGGCACTGAAAGAGAATTTTTGCATTCCAGCGTATCTCCTAAGGATAATAGAGGATTATTTGAACAATAGATGGTTGGAGTACAACACAAAGGATGGCAACAGAACAAAGCAAATAACAGCGGGTGAAGCGCAAGGATCGATTTTGGGACCTGACTTATGGAACGTTTTGTACGACAGCATATTTCGAGTGGAGATGCCAAGAAACACTGTTCTTATAGGATACTCAGATGACATAGCAGCAGTTATTACGACGAGAAACATGGAGGAAGCACAAATTAAACTTAACCAGGTAATGCGGAGGGTCAACACGTGGATGGAAGACCACGGTTTGGAGCTAGCAAAAGCCAAGACAGAAATAGTTGTTCTGACGAAGAAAAGAATTCCTACAATTGTAAAGATGCGAATAGATGCAGAGGAAATTCAAACAAAGGCAGCAGCAAAATATCTTGGAGTTACGCTGGACAATAAACTTGTTATTTTAAGCACATCAATCAGGTAGCAGACAAAGCCGAAATTCTTACCAACAAGCTAAGCAGACTTATGGCAAACATCGAAGGGCCAAAACCAGAGAAGAGGAAAATTATTTTGGGTTTAACACAGTCAATATTATTGTATGGGGCGGAGATATGGGCAGACTCGTTAAAGAAGAAATATTGCAGAAAACGACTTGCAGCAGTACAGCGAAGGGCGGCTCTTCGGGTTGCATGTTCCTATAGAACGGTTTCAGAAGAAGCAGTGATGGTGATATCGAACGTGATACCGATTGACCTGTTGGCTCAAGAAAAGAAGAAGATATATATGAGAGACCCAGATACAGACAGAGGAAATATCGCAGAACGAGTAAGAATAGATACGATAGAGGAGTGGCAAAGGCGTTGGGAAAGCGGTCGCAACGGCAGATGGACGGCCAGATTGATAACGGATTTGAAAAAGTGGAGCAACCGAAAACACGGCGAGGTAAATTACTACATAACGCAGCTGCTATCGGGACACGGATATTTTCGGGCTTACCTGCATAGAATGGGAAAAGTGAACAATCCAGGATGTCGGCATTGTGAAGATATTGAGGACACGGCACAGCACACATTCTTTGAATGTGGTATGGCGGAAGCGGAACGAAACATCCTAACATCGGCCGTGGGACGGATGACACCAGACAACATCGTTGAAATGATGCTAGAATCAGAGGACACATGGAACATTATAGGCGCTTACATCGAAGCAGTATTGCGAAAAAAGAAGCGACTAAAATATCTAGAAGACGAAGAAGAAAATGAATAATTTGATATAAAAAGAGAAAAAGAAAACAGGAAGAGAAAACAAAAGAACAGCACGGTCCGGCCGGCCTGAAGTAATGCGAAGAGCGGTTCCGGGTCGGATTTCACCGTGGGAGGTAGGTGGTTTTGGTGGGTAGCCTTATGCCAAGATGGCCGAAAGGATTCCCACAGTATTAGGGTGTGTCGGTCCCACTCTAATCTCCATAAAGGATTTCCACCTACATGTCCACGTGGACAAAAAAAAAAAAAAAAAATTATTGTTATCATTACTAATATTATCATTAATATTATTGTTATTAATTTTTTTATTGTTTTTATTATTATTTTTATTATTATTATTATTTTATTATTATTATGACTACAGTTATTAATTTTATTATTATTATTATTATTATTGTTGTTGTTATTATTATTTATGCTTGAATTATTATAACAAATATTATCATAAGTAATATAATTACTTCCATTTGTTGTACCGTTAGTAGTGCCGCAATGCGAGATGGTATTGCAAAGATGGAAAGGTTTAGAATATAGGTGACTGCGAAAATAATGTTACAAGAACCCGCAGAAATATTATTAGGCATCAAAAAGTGAGAGGAACCATTCAATTGTAATGACAATGTAGGTAACTCCATGAATTTAGGAAATAAAGTGTTTTTTGATTCTAGGCAAAAAGTTAGTTAACTGTTAAAAGCTGGTAGTTTTTTATGAAGTGTAACAGAATCACTTTTCTAATGCCCAAAAACTAAAATTATCATCAGCAAGAACCTGACCTGAAAAAGAGAAGATGAAGGCGAATGTGTATTTGTATTATGCGATCTATCAAGTTCAGTATATTTATTACTTTTAATTTATATTATTTTATTTAAGTTAGTATCAATTTTTATGGCTTTTTCAAATTTATTTTTCTTTTTTTCTTTGACTTATTATTAAAACTTTATTTATTATTATTATAAGTTGAACTTTTTATTTTATTAGAAGTATTATTTTTTTCCGGAACCAATTGACAGACATATTTGGCAGTAAAACAATTTATTGAATTTAGACTCAATACAAATAAAGTTGGGTCAAACCAATGGTTTGTATTGTAGCACTTTTCCCTTCAACAAGTGAAAATACTGCTTTTAAATACAGTATTTTCAAGTAAAATACAATATATACC